CTGACTTGGAGCCATTCCCCCAAATTTCATTAAAATCCTTATTTGGCTGCCTGTGCTATTCATCCAATCTTCCTTATATATGGTCCTTTATTTTACATGGCAAAATTCAGCGTTTTCATGAGAATAACACAAGGATGGTAACTTAAAGAGCTTCGTCTTGATTATGTCAACTGGACTTCCATCAGTCCCCAAACTGGGATGTCATTCCGAAATCTCTGAGGTCGTGCTGCTTAAAGCACCCTTTTAATGAGACAGCTGCCCAGCCTCACTTCTGCCTCCAGATGTTTCTACAAAGGAACAGTCCTCAAAATTATCTCCCGGCAGGGCAGCTGAGCCCACATAAAGCTAAATGGAGAAATTTGTGAACCTAGAGGGAGGCAGCCCCAAAAGTAATTCCCCGTTTCCATGCTGGGAAAGAAAAAAGGAGAGTCACAGGATTTCTTTGGCTCCATCTGACATTTTTAAAATGCCAGTCTGATCACTTCTACATCAAAGAGATGATAAAATTTGTTTAAGTATCAAAGTTTCAAATGACAACTAGATGTGAAAAAGAGTACATGGACAGTTAAGAAATAATAACCAAGTGAGGAAAATAACTGCCCCCCACTATTGTGTTGCATATTTAGAAGGTATTTCTCTAAAGGCTAAAAATGAAAAGTTAGTGGAACAGGCAGATCATTGTCTAGCTCTTGATTATTAACTCAAGTGAGGCAAACAGCAGAGGCAGGTCATAAAGTGGGTCTTTCTCAGTTTCTCATATTTAATTTCTCATCAATGTTGCTGGCAGAACACTTGGAAAGTGGAAAGTGAACTATAAGTTAGCTATCTTTTAAAAAGACAAATGTCCTATAATCCAAATATATTCAGCTTTATGGTTAAATAGCCACAGCTTGGTCGTACAAGATATTCTAGTTTCACATGTCATTTTAACCCCCAATTCCAACACTGGTGAACTGTCAGCGCCCAGGACAATGGATACATTACTGCGCTGGGCGGAAGTGGGAAGGGGAAGGGAAGGAGTGGCCTGATACTCAAGTTCAAGTGAATGTTTCCTGGTTATGTGGGAGGAGCCTGCATGGACAAACTCTGCTAAGGCCAAATAAGCAAATAACCTGCTCTCTTTTCCTCTGGAGTCTGACTTCTGCATGAAAAGGCACTAAACACACATCCCTAACTGGAACTGAGTCTCCTCTGGGAAAAACTGGTAATTCAGCTCTTTAGGAATCTAAGAATAATAGTTTAAGACAGAACAAATACGAGGTTCCTCTGTTTATGTGACAACAAACTTTCCCAAACAAATTCTGCCCACGAATCGCCGTATGGGCGAGAGTTCCTTGATGGGGCGACACCTCACCCAGAAGTCCCGGGCCGCGCTGGACCATCTGGAGCCGAGCCCCCCAGGAGGTGTGATCCCAGGGACAGACCACAGGGTATTTCCCACGGTCTGAAGGCACCCGTCTCAGAGGACGGGGGGAGAATGGGGAAAAGCCACGGAATGAGGAAGAAAATGAAAACTTCATAAAAATTCATTCAAGGGAGCTGATCTGATCAAGTCAGTGCAGGACGACAAACCATTTTACCGAGATGGAATGCTCACTTTCAGTCCACACCTACCACCTTCCTCAGTACTGCATCAGTGACTCCTTCCCTGATTTATCCCCTACTGAATGCCGGGTACCACGTGAGGGGCAGGGCTACGGCGATGATCAAGACTGAGGACGGTCCTGACCCTCCAGAATACAGAGTTAAATGGAGGGACACCTTAGCAGGATCATGATGGGGAAGGTAACAGACTGCGATAAAGGCTCTGAAGGACATACACAGTGATGCGAGAGCGAGGACACAGGGAGAGAAAATGGCAAGGACACAGGTGTGGAGACAGGAAAGGAAGAAAAAGGAGACCAGTGTTGGCCAAAGGGTAGCGATACAGACTAGAGGAAGAATGGTACCAGAAATCAGTGATTACTAATAATACTTTATCAGCATATATATTATTTAACTATGTCACACAGTTCCACATAGTTCATCCATATTAACTCATTTAAATCCTTATGGCATCCCTACAATATATTATTATCCCATTTTGCAAATGAGGAAACTGAGCATCAGAGAGGTTAAGTAATCTGCCCAGGGTCACACAGTTATCACAGAGAAAGCCTGGATTCACCCAGAGCCAGGCAGTCTGGCTCCGGAGTCTGTGCTCTCGACCTTTGGCTATACTGCCTCTCAACGAGGTTGGGGAACAAGTCTGACCACACCTGACCTCTTTTAAAACTTTTCTACCTTTCCAGACCCTCTCCTGAGCATTATATATGTTAACAAGAATAGAAAGCTAATCATTAACTCCAAGTCTGTGACTGATTAAAGACTGAGATCATTCTAATTGGAAGGGGGGGGGGGGACCTTGGAACCGGTCCAAAAAAGATTTTTTTTTTAAATGAGTGTCAGCACTGCAGCATGACAAGAGAGGAGAGATGACAGGAAGGGAAAAATACCCTCCAATCTTCCTGGTACCCAGGTTTGCAAGGAGCAAAACAACACAGGAAGTGGCACTTCATTTTTACATCACGATTTCTGCACAAACTGTCCCTTAACTAGCATCACATAGGAACCGAGGGCCATAGTGAAACTAAGCCCTGACTTCCAGAAGAGGGGGAAGAAAAATCTCTAATGAGTCACATGGACACCACTTGGATTTTCCACCGCAAGACATGTGGGTGGACTCTAGTTAATTCTTAGCAGCTGCCGAGGCCCCGACTAGGCGACCAGATATTCTGAATGAAGGAACTGCATGAGTTGTTGGCTCCTGCCTGAAACAGGGGTCTCACTCTTCATGCTGGTCTGTACTTAGAAGGAAACTGTGCCACAATCGTTCACATTTCTTAGCCTACAGGTAAATAAAATATCACTATAAAACAAACAAACAGAAAGAGTAACTTCAGGCACCAAAATATTAGAACGCAAGTTTCAGTTAATGAATAGGTTGACTCTAGAAAGAACTCAGAGGGTAATGATTCGAAACGCTGAAATCTTTATAACGATATTTGCAGATGTATTTGAAAGCTAGTCCAATTTCCCCAAGGAAAATAGGTATGTAGCTACTATATGGGACAGTGAAGGAAACTCAAAAACTCTACATAGTGGCAAACTACTGATTAAGTGCTGAATTCTTCTTTTTCAAGAGTGTGATATGCTCATAAGCAGTATTAATGAAATCAGCTGGAAAAATCCTCGCAGTATATTCTTTTAAACAAATATTGCTTTAAAAATACCAAATTATTCATGGTCAATTGTGGCTGGCAACAGTGTTCTGAATACAGATTCAGAATATTTAAATAGAAATATAGGGAGCAATAAATACAGCTAGCTGTGCAGGCACTAAATTACTTTTTGGCATATTGATTTGTCATCCATTTCATTCCAGATTTCTCCATGTAGGTTCAGTCCCTCTGCTATCCTCCAGGTTAAGAGGTTCCCCTTCAGGGACTGCGTCCCTTTCGAAATCTAAACCGGCAGGATTAAGTCTATATAAGAGGGAAGACTGCTCTTCTGCCGTTTTGTTTCTTAACCTAAGGAAGCCCCTGCAGTGCAGTTTCTATAGCTGGCCACAGTATCTCTACTAGTATCTGCATTTTATATATAGTAACCTCAGTAACAGAAAAAAAGAAATCACTTGACAAAGTTTTCTATTTCTGTAACGTTGTGTCAGAGGGAAGCTTAACAGACGAACAGACGGTCTTCCCGGGTGAAAGTATTTGTTTGGATTTTAGATGTGAGCTTATTTAGCTCAGTTAAATTTAACTCCTGTGAGAATAAACATTCTTGATCTCCTGACTCAGATACTATGCTCCATTACTGAATTCACTGAACTAAAAAATAGTCTGTAATTTTGACCAATAACCTTGGGTCCTTTCCAGAAACCGCCGGCTCCCGGTAATCTACAGCTTTCCCAAGAGATGTCCTCGCTCCAGATCTCACGCACAGAGGAATCAAAATCTGCCGCAATTCAACATGACCACGCCCAGGTCCACAGCACCTGCAAAGAGCCATACATCTGCAGAGCAGTAAATGTCCCTCCCCCCAGAACTCCTTTTCTCCAGTTAGGGGATTAAAGCCACAAGCCCGTAGCTCCTTTCCTATCCACCTTCCTGTCTCTGCTTTTCTTTTACCTCCTTTCCCACACTCACTTGACGCTTAAACTAAATGTAGCGGTAAACTCTTGACTCCCAAGGAAAGTATTAGCAGAAGCTAGAACTTCGGGGAATGACTCACCACCCAGTATCCAGCCCCTTCCACCGCCCTGCAGCTGCCCCACCGCTATGGCCCTGGGGCTCCCTGCAGCAACACTAGATGAGGAAAATTCTCTGAAATCCAAGACAGAACCTAAATGAAGATTTCGCTTCCTTTCCTGCGGCATCTCCTGCTCGGTAGGTTCCAATACAAACACAGGGACAAACATTTCTACGAGGCAGGAGGAAAACAAACACAATTCCCTGGGCGGCCCTCCCGGAAGGTCCCTAGCAACACATCCACATCCGCAGCTAGTGCAGCGCTCGCAGGCCACTTTAAATAAACCATTGTTACCGATCAGGCCTGCGCTGCAACTTCCCCTGCAGTGCCTCGCCCGCCCATCCTGCGCAGCAGAGATGCAGTTGACAACATCGGGTGGGCTCCATGAGGTCGAAAGAAGGAGCCCCGAGTCTGCACAGCCTTGGGAGCGGAGAGGAAGGAACTGGGGAAGGGTTGACCTTGAGAATCTCGCCGATTGCGAGGCCGGCCCGGCCTAGATGCGCCAAACCAATACATCATCGGCGGAATGCAGGGCAGATGGAGGTCAAAGGGGATGGAAAGGCAGAAATAAACTTACAGACAAGACGGGAGAAAGAGAAAGCGAGTCCCTATTCAGCTCAGGATGGCAGAGATATGGGCAGTGCTCAGCACAGAAGCTGAAGTGCCCCCGAGGCCCACGCTCCTCGCTGCCCGCAGGTGCGGGCACTTACCTGGATCACCTTCTGCTGATGCAGACCGCAGCTGCGCAGCAAACTGTAGGCGCGGAGCCCCGGCCTCTGGCAGAGTGAGGCGTGGCCTGCAGCAGTCCCCGCCCCGGCCCCGGGCATCGCGAGGCCACGCCTCCAAGGCGGGGCTCCGGCCGCCCGAGAGCGCCATCTGGGTCCACTTCTGGGGACCTGGTTTTGAGGCGGAGGCTGCATTTTCTTCCTCCTCACGGTTGTCCATGGATTTACTCCCTCCACAACTAAATCTGTATATCTGTTCCTTTCTGCAAATGCCACCTTGGTCGCCTTCTTAAAACTGTTCCTGCCAGTTCCTATTCGGATTGAGTTTGCTGAACGGTAGCACGTTAGTAATTTATCCCCTGTAGAGCCACCGTAGCTGGCTTCTCGGCGCTCTGCGGTGAAGGCGGGGCCCCGGGTTGCGCGGCGCGTGCGCGGAAGGGGGAGCGCGCCCGAGCCTGGTCGCTTTCCAGGTGCGCCTGGCGCGCGTTAGGTGCTCGGTGCCTTAGATTGCGACACACACCGGGTGAAAGGATTTAGGGATGTTAGATCCTGTACTTTCCCATAACTAATCGTTTTGTCACTTTTGCCGAGAGCTGGAACCGAGCCCTGCCCGCATGGTGGCCGCACCCATCCTCGCCCACACCCGCCCTCCTGGTCCCCCTGTCTGGGCACAGGACGGCACCGCCTAGGGGACCCACAGCCCTTCCATAGTGAATACAAGCCCCAGTTAGGCCCTCTAGTCCGGGCTCGGGCCGGTGAGGTCTTGAGTGAGGCCTGCAGGCAGGGCCGAGCCCGCAGAAGTGGAGCCTCCTAAGTGCTGTGAACTCAGCCGATGGCACGCAGAAAGGACCAAAGTTTCCCGCTTTTACATGTCTTAAGTGTGGTCCGCACCCCTTTCCTCTGGACACCCCACATCTTGCTAGGTATCCCCACATCTGGGTCTCCCCTAGTGCCTCTTATGTGCGGTACTTCTCTCTGAGAGCGTGTGCTTGGGAGCCCATGGTTCCAAGTCCAGGTCTGGAATGGCTGGAATCCAGATCTTAGAAGGCTCTAGGCTGGGTGTTCCTTCTTATTAGTTTGTCATATCCACACATCTGGAGGTAATTTGGGGGCTGTAAAATCTTTATTATTGCTGTTTCAGCACCTTCCAACCATTCTCACGCATTCATCTTCAGCCCAAGAAGGCTTTATATTTAGGGTTTCTGGCATGTTGGTTGTAAAGAACTGGTTTTCATTGAACACTGGAAGAAAGTAGGAATGCATTTCTACAGTATTGAGGGACTTTCCCTCCCTTGTTTCTGCAGACTGAAGGTGTCATCATAGTTTACTCCTTTGTTCCCCTCTCAAAGCCCATTTCATATGTTGAAACCTGATCCCCAATGTGGTGGTATTCTTGGGTGGAGCCTTTGAAAGGTGTTAGTTCATGAGGGTGGAGCCCTCATGAATGGGATTGGTGTCCCTATAAAAGAGACCCCCGAGAGCTACCTTGGCCCTCCTGTTGTGTGAGGATACAGCCAGAAGACCGCATCTACGAACCAGGAAGTAGGCTGTCATCAGACACTGAATCTGCTAGCACCTTAATCTTGGCCTTCCCAGACTCCAGAATTTCAAGAAATAAATGTTTGCTGTTTAAGTTACCCAGCTCATGGTATTTTCATTATAGCAGCTGTTCTGTATAAGAAAAGGCAGCCTGATTGGTAGAAGGCATGATGGAAAAGACAGGAGCATATATTTGGCCCTTTTCCCAATTATTCTGTTTGACCAGAGACAAGAACTTAACCATGCATGACATTCCTTAAAATTTTTTTTGAATTATAATTTAAATAATTTATTATTATATTTATAATCTAAGTATTGCATTATAAAAGCAATATTTATTGTAGAAAATTTAGAAAATATGTAGGAAAAACCCCACAAGAAATGACACATACATGCAAAAATAGATTCATACAGTATATGCTTTTTGTTGTCTGCATTTCCCAGTTCATAAATTATAAACCCTTTTAAATCCTGATGAGTTCATTCTGCAACATTATTTTGTACTGATTGCACATCATTTCATAGCATGGACATACCATCCCCCTCTTGTTGGAGTTAGCTTGTTTTCAATTCTTTACAAGTAGTGCACAAACATATAGCTAAATCTGCGTGCATGCTTGTGATTATTTCTTTTGGCTAAATTCCTTTAAAGAGGAATTTCTGGATCAGAGACTACATAACATTTTAAAGTCTTTTCTTTTTGTTAACAAGATGCACACCAGGAAACGATTTATAATCTTCAACACTGGATATTGCACATCATTTCCCTTCATCTCCAAATGGGGATAAGACCTTTCTCCCAAGGTTACTGTGAAGTTCAAATGAAGACAGCACAGAAGTCCTATATTTCTTCTGATACAGGGTAATATATTTTGCAAGTTCCTTTACAACAACATCAGTTATGATGTGAACACTTTGGCTCAGAGGTTGCTCTGTCCCTACTTCATTCACCATTGATTCTTTTCCCATTTACAATGTCTTCTTCTGACCCTCTTCTCATTTACCTCATAAGCTCTCTCTGTCCTTGGATTCCCAAACATTGCTCTCCTCGTCTTTAATTTCTGCTCTCCTTTTTACTAGTTCCTCTTCATCAACCTGCATCTTAAAATGTATTCAAGATTCTCCAAAGCACTGTCTTTTATTTCTTCTTTTCATTCTTCTCTCCTGCAAGTCTCTTTTTTGACTCTCTTTTGTTGGTTACATCCATTCCCGTGGCTGTTTGGGTTGTCCAGCGTCCAAACCCTCTCCTTTTTGGGGAAAAATCCCTCATTTTCTGTATTTTCTTTGAAGATAGCGCTTATCGCAATATAGAAGTTGAAGGGCAATTCCTCCTCTCCCTCACTTTCAGAGGAGCCAAGGGGGTGGGCACATGCCTTTATCTGTGCCAGTCAGATGTTACTCCCAAGACTCTGAACCCTCAAGAGAATGACATCAACAAGCAGACATTTGGAGTTCTCTTTCATTCATGTGGTTGCAGCAGTGGCTGGACCAGAACTCTCCGAGAGGCTTTTCTGACCACTCAGTTAAAAATGGCAACTTCCCTCTCCTCAAGGCATCCTTTATCCTTCTTCCTTGCTTTATTTTCTACTATCTGACATATTTTTGGATTTAATTAATTAATTTGTTTATGACCTGTGCCCCCCCCAACCCGGCTCAAATGTAAGTTGCATGAAGGTGAGGATATTATCTGTCTCCTCACAGCTGTGTCCCTCATGCCCTGAGGTGCCTGGCATAGAGTGGGCACTCAATAACCATTTGTTAAATGAATGCATGAAGAGCTAGTTCCTGTTGCCTAGCTGTCGGAAACTCCCTGGGTTCTTGACCTTTTCTTGAAGCCTGTCCCTCCAGCCTTACCACTGACTCTCTCAGCACCACAGCCTTCCAAGAAATACCCTGTTTCGTGAGTTAGCCGGAGTTCGTTTCTGTTTCAGGCAGAACCACTTACTGTATTACAGGCTTCTCACCCGCAGGGTAACCAAAACCACGTTCATTACCTTCCCCAGCAAGAGTCATTTATTTAGCTGTGTGATTCTGGTGGGGGAGGGGGATTATGTAAGTTCTCTGAAACTTGTTTTGTTTTTTTATCTGCAAAATTAATATACCAATATCTATTTTGCTTGGCTCTTGTAAAGACAGCACAAAGTCTGTGCCTATTGTGAGGTGGAAAGCCCCATAAAAAGACCGGCAGGACCCCTAGGCAGGGCCGCTGCTCTCCTCCCAGCACCGGCAGGTTCCCTCGGCCAGAGGCTTTATCTCACTCTTAGCCTCTAAAGCAGCTAACTTACACCTAGAATTCTATTGGTTCCCTGAGCTCACTTCTGATTGGTTATTTCCTTCACTCCTGATTGGTTATTACTCTCACTTCTGATTGGTCCATTCCCCTAATTTCTGATTGGTCCATTTGTAGTACTTCATTTGCATGGAGCTCACTCCTGATTGGTCTATTTCTACAAAGCTTGTTCCTGGTTGGTCAACTTCTGTTATACTTTATTTGCATATGATGTTGCAAAGGGTAAAACTGGTAGCCTATAAAAGGCCTGTGTAAACCTACGAAAGGAATCTGGAGCTTGAAGTGTTAACTTTTCTGGGCCTGTTGGCATAATAAACCTGAGTTCTTTAGCTCTCTTAGTGCTCCTTGGACACTTGGGCAGATCCAGGTTGTTATCACAACTGAGCTGTAACACTGAGCTGTAGCACGTTTTTCTGCAACACTGGAGGCATTTAATAAATGCTGTTATTACTGATTCTTGTTGATGGCACCTCAAAACAATCTCCTTTCTAGTCCCTTTGCCCTTGTTTAGGCCTCAAGTCTCCTCTGATCTAGGCAATTATAGTAACCTTTTATTTATTTAGTTATTTAAACTTTTTTGTTTCATTGAGTTATAGTCATTTTACAATGTTGTGTTAACTTCAGTGTAGAGCACAATTTTTCAGCTATACATGAACATACATATATTCATTGTCAAATTGCAGTAACCTTTTAACTGGTATCTCTTTGAAAATTCATCACCCAGCTGCCATCACAGCTACCTTGCTAAAGCAGACCTCTTCTTTGGTGACTGACTCATACCTTTA